GCAACTTGAGGGCTCCCAGGGACTTTTCCCAACATGTCTTTATTCTGCTTTATTTTTCTTTGTATTTATCATCGTATCAAATAAACCAGGTGATTCTAAAAGAGAAGATTCTAGACTTTTGAGAAGCAACAACTTCAAAAGAGCCTATGTCACTTTTTATGTAGGATAGTTCTCGTTATATTCTACTTTGTTTAGTGAAATATCAACATTATTACTCTGCAATCCCAATTAATCATGTCACTTAACCAGACTGAACATCTCCCAGAGGCCCTGACTATGAATGCCCACTATGACCTCTGCCTTTCCTAATTCTTCCATATGCATGCAGCATCTGGTCATAAATTATCTTTACAGATAATTCTCTAATTTTTTTTACGAACTACTTATTGGTTTAAATTTCTTTTGTCCCATTCTCCATGAGGTGGTAGGTGTTCAAAAATACCAGCTAAAATGTTCCTGATGTAGATAGATAGGCAGATAAATATAGATACACGAATATGGAGAGAAATACAGAAAGATATATACCAGGTAATTTACAAGCATTATAGGCTAGAGATGGGACAATGACAGTAAGAGATGAGATAGCAAATAAAATAATAATAATAAAAAACCAAACATTTTTTGAAAAAGTACATATTTTATATATGTAAAACTACACGATTCCATTTAAATAAAGAAATTATTTAAGGCCGGGCGCGGCGGCTCACGCCTGTAATCCTAGCACTCTGGGAGGCCGAGACGGGCGGATTGTTTGAGCTCAGGAGTTCGAAACCAGCCTGAGCAAGAGCGAGATCCCGTCTCCACTAAAAATAGAAAGAAATTAATTGGACAACTAAAAATATATAGAAAAAATTAGCCGGGCATGGTGGCGCATGCCTGTAGTCCCAGCTACTCGGGAGGCTGAGGCAGAAGGATTGCTTAAGCCCAGGAGTTTGAGGTTGCTGTGAGCTAGTCTGATGCCACGGCACTCATTCTAGCCCGGGCAAAAGAGTGAGACTCTTGTCTCAAAAGAAAAAAAAAGAAAAAGAAAAAGAAATTATTAAAACAGCAAAGAAATAGAGCTATATCTATTCACTTACAAGGTTGTCTGTTTTATGATTTCAAGTGAAAAAAGCAAACTGCAAATTCTGTCTCTATACAAAACCAAAACTTTTTAATCTATATACCTGCATATACATGTATTAATAAGAGGACAGGTGTAGAAAAACATAAATCAACCTTTTAACATGGGTTATCTGACAGCAGTTAAAGATTTTTGGTGTGCTGGATATTCCTCTCTCCTTCATTCCTGTTCTCTTATTCATCAGGGGTTTGATTTGCCCAGAGGCTAATCTTCTGATGTGATTACCATTCCTTGTCTCAGCTTTCTCTGATCCATTCTCCAGCATAGCTCAGAGTATGGGCACTGACCAGCCGCTGAGCTGGAGAAATATCCCTGCAGTATCTAGCAGGTATCCTGAGCTTTCCTGCTAAGGTGCTGTGGTGTGTGTTGATTTTCCCAAAAGGGACAGCCTCGGAATCTGTGCAGGGGTTGCAGGCCAAACAGCAGTAGGAGGCCATCAGGCAGACAGTGGGGTCAAGCTGCTGGTAGTGCCTATTGCCAAATTGAACAAGCTCAAATATTATTCCCTCCCATCACCTGTGTCTAGGGAAGGCAAAACTCTGTGAACACGACAAATCCCATTTTCCTGACAAAAACTTAGTCTATACATAGTAATTGCAATATAAGAAAATACAGTATGTTCTTTTAGTAAAGAGTTCATCATATTGTAGATTCTTGATAGACATTAAAGACCAGAAACATTGCTTTTAACAAAACAGGTCCAAAGAATGAATTTGATAAGTGTTTTTATATGAACAGAAGTCATTAAATATTTGTAAGACTATATATGCTGAATTATTTTAAAACCCCCAAATTATACTTAAGAGAGACATAAAAATAGTTTTTAAAAATTCACTTATTTGCTAATACAAAATCAGTCATATATATAGATTGTGTATTTATTTATCATTAAGGATACACCAAAACTTACCTCAATCTCTCTCCTCTTTCCCACACCCCCAAGACTCACACACACACAACTTTATCTCATTGTGTTTTCACAAAACTAGGATATTTTTTATACTACTATTTTTTAATGTCTTCTTAGAAATAAACTATCTCATTTTATGTTACCTTTTTAGAACGCATGCATTCACTCATTCGTTCAACACATAGTTACTCAAGGTCTGCTATGTACTAGGCCATTCTTTGCTCTGGGAATATGGCAGGGAGCAAAAAAGACAGCAATCCTTTCCCTCATGGAGCCAATATCCTACTGGAAGGAAACACTCAATAAAGAAGTAGGCGAAACATATAGCGTAGCATGTCAGATGGTGATCAGCACTAAGGAAGAAAATAAGAGTGACAGAGAGTGCCACTGGTAGGGAGAAGGCTGCAATTTTAAATAACGTGTGGTCAGGGAAGACCTTGCTGAGGAGAGAAAATTTCAGTCCTCTGAACAGGAAAAGGTGAGGCAAAATGCCACATGAATATTTGGGAGAAGAGCATTACAGACTGAGGGGTTCACCATAGGCAAAGTGTTCAACACGTGCAAAGTCAGGGCGCATGCTATTCTCTCTCCAATGTCATCTCCCACTGTTCTGCCCCTCCCTCACTTTACTGCAACCAGGCAATGACCTCCTTGCTGTTACTCAAATTATGCTGGTGAATGGGGAGTGGGGAACCAGGGAGGCAGTGCAGACCCTCAGAAGCTCCTCTGAAGTTCTTCTGAAGTGGCCTTCTCCTCAGATTGAAAGGCAGGCCGTCGTCATATGAATGAAAGGGACCTTGGGCAAACAATAACTCCTCTTGAGCAGCAATGTCCAACAGATCTTTCTGCAATGATGGAAATGTTCTATATCTATGCTGTCCAATAAGGAGCCACCAGTCACATGAGGCTGTTGGGTACTTGAAAAGTGGCTAGTGTGACTAAGGAACTGACATTCTAATTTTATTTTATTTTAATTAACTGAAATCAAAATAGTTAAACATGGCTAGTAGCTAGCATACTGGCCAGGATAATTTTAAAGTAAAAGTAGGTCTCGAGAACATGGGAATTTATCATTAATAGAGACACCTTAACTCTAAAGAAATGTTTCGTTTAACTGCTAAAGTTTAAGTTGGTCCAATAAGACTTCTATGATTAAATGTAGCAATTATGATAACTTTAGATAATCATCACAAAACATGTATTAGCCATCATCTAACACATAATTCTTTGGATACTGCATAGAAAAACTACTGCTATAAGGCTTTCTCACTTCAGCTTTAGTGTTTCTCTGTAGATGATTTTTTTATTGTTGGAATACTAGTTAAGAAATTTTTAATACTCTGTTATTAAATTAAGCTGTGTTTCCTGCTTACAAGTTTTTCTTCTCGATTTGATTTGTTTTGAGTTGACACACATTTACATGCAAATGTAAAAATACGAATAAAATCTAATATAACAAATGTGATGTGGTATAATAAATTATATATTCATTTGTGAAATAAATTCTAACAAAATAGAATAAAAGACTATGATTAGTAGAAGGGCTTAAGAGATACTTTTTAGAAACTGGCATTAAAATGGCTTTGTTTTTCATAAAATTGGAAATAGGAGATATTATTTTAAGATATGCAAGGCTAATCTTTAAAAACTACATTCAACTTATAAAATTATGTGGGTTTTAAGAGAAAGGCAGATACATATATGCACTATATATACACCAAAAACACTATTATTAAAGCTACACAAGAAAACTACGTGTTTTAGAATTTCCATGTTTAAATCAACAGCACCCAGAGACGACGAAAGCCAGTTACTAAAAAATTTATTGCTTGGTTAAAACACAGTTTACAATTCAAAGGAGTTTTAAAATCTCTGTGCTGTTATGAAGCTTTACGGGGTTTATAATGGAGATGAAAACAGAAATAAAAAGATCTGACAAACAGAAAATGCCAAAGATATTTCCAGCATTATAAGCATGGATTTTTACTCCCACCCTTACTTTTCACCTTCTTCCAACACAACTGACTTCAACACATCTGTTTCCTGGAGTCCCTTTCAAAATGTAAACTTTTGTTGGGCAAAGCTAAAAGGAATATTATTTTTCTAATTTTTTTAAAACCTAGAATAAAAACTCCATGAGGGCAGAAATTTTTGATAAGTATTCTCAGCACTAGAATAGTGTCTAACACATAGTACATACTCAATAAATATTTATTGAATTAATAATTTGACCAGATGCTCTTATTAAAATGAAGCTATCCAAATTGTATTATAACATTTGTGTAGAATTTTAACACTGGTAATCTAGACTCATTCCAAAATTTTACCATCTATGCATACAACAAAACCCCTTTTTAAAGTTTATTGGCAATTCACAGAATTAGCTGAGGGCTTTTGTATCCATTATTTCCATAGATTCTACGATCTCTTCCAATTCCAAAATTTATTTATTCTAATAATCACCTAAAACTATATAGAAAAAATGTGAAACCTATTCAAATGGAACATCACAGAATATTAAAACAAAATATTATTTAAATTACTACGGAAATAATTGCAAAAAAAGCTGATAGATCATCCTGGACTTTTTGGATTTTTCTTAAACCTTTCAAAGGGTATTCTTTCAAAGGCTCTAATTAGTCTTGTTTGAAATTACTGTCAAATTCTTCATTTTCAAAATCAAATAAATTGAGATGCCATATAATAAACTGCACTGTGCTCTTTAAATTTAATACTCAAAAGACCAAACTTATTTTAAAAACAAAATCTAATACACACTGGAAAATACTGAGCTGGAATGCTTGCTGAAATGCTGTTTACTGCAAAAGTCCCAATGTTTGATCAACTAACACTGAAGTTTAAATTAGGTCTAAACTCAGGAAATTGACCTTCATAATATTTTAACATGTTTGTCTTTATAAGGTAGTTATCTTCTAAGGAAAGAATATTTAAATGTCTTTGACTTACAGTCAAATTTCGATCCCAGATCTGTATGCTTCCATTCTGGCAGGCAGCTGCTATGAGGTTTCCATCTCTACTATACGTGCACGTAGTGGGAATGACTTTTTTACCTTGCATCGTCCGTGGCTTAAAGACACTTTTTTGCTTCTTTGGATTTTCAACTTCCCACGTCCTCACAGTCCTAAAAAAGACCAGGAGATTTTTCATTGATAAAAAAGAAAGGAATTTAAAATAAAAAAGAGTCTATAAATACTGCCTCACCTTTTAAGCACATAAATCTAATAATTATTTTAAAATAAAACAAGACATGCACTGTAAAACATTCTCCATTTATAAATGAGGTTACTCACAGAAATAAATAAAATGAACCATCCGAGTCATGTTGTCATCAAATCAGAAAGTAGCAATTTCTATTTCAAATCTTTTAAAGTTATTAGTTCCGACCCTCTAATGCAGTGGCTTTCAAACTCTTTGACTATACATGCTGATCAGTAAAACTGTTAAATGTATGCCCTCTATATAGGCACATTAATTTGTAAATTACTCGCATGTGTTAATGCGCTGTTCTATAACACCAGAAAACACACTGAAAAATAAGTCACTAAAAAAGTCATGCTCTAGAGCCTAAGCAAAGACCTAATGCCTCTCGGGGAGGAGTAGAAATGCAGCTGTCTGCGCCTGAGCTTTCACCAAGTAATAAGCAACAGCAGTCTAGGCCTGGGGCGGGGCAGAACACTCCCCCACTCACAGTCCCAGGCAAATGAGCACAGTCACTGAGGGAGGGTACAACAAAAGCCATATGACCCAGAGGAAGGGGGGAAAAAAGCATAAAATAGAGAAAAATAAAGATGAGGTCAGCGACTTTCTGGTAGAAACTATGCAAACCAAACCTCTACGGAACAACAGTTTTAAAGTTCTGAAAGAAAAAACAAATTCTCAATCCAATATTTTATAGCCAGTGAAAATATATTTCAAAATAAGTTGAAATCGGCTGGGTGTGGTGGCTCACACCTGTAATCCTAGCACTCTGGGAGGCCAACGCGGGTAGATCGTTTGAGCTCAGGAGTTCAAGACCAGCCTGAACAAGAGCAAGACCCCATCTCTACTAAAAAATAGAAAGAAATTACTTGAACTGCTAAAAATATATAGAAAAAATTAGCCAGGCACGGTGGCGCATGCCTGTAGTCCCAGCTTCTCGGGAGGCTGAGGCAGGAGGATTGCTTGAGCCCAGGAGTTTGAGGTTGCTGTGAGCTAGGATGACGCCATGGCACTCTAGCCCGGGCAACACAGTGAGACTCTGTCTCAAAAAAAATAAATAAATAAGTTGAAATCAACTTCAATTTCAGATGGAAAAAAGCTGAGGCAAGTCACTGCCATCAGTCATGTACTACAAGAAATGTTAAATGAAGTTCTTAAGGCAGAACACATATGACACAAATGGAAATCTGAATCTACATAAAGAAATGAAGAATGTCACAAACGTAAAAATAAGAGTAAATGTTAAAGGCATTTTTAAAAAATGTTTAAATCTCTTTTAAAAATAAAAGGCTGTAAAGCAAAAATAGTAACAATGTATTGTGAGTTTTATAACATTTGTCCAAATAAAATATATGGCAATAATAGAACAAAGGTTGGGAGGGAAGAATGAAAGTATATAGTTTTAAGCTATACTCAAAATGGCATATTATTTGAAGAGAGAATATGATACATTAAAGAGGTTTATTACAAACCCTAAAGCGATTGCTAACACATTTTTTAATGAATGCATAATAATGGAGATAAAATGAAATGAAAACAAAAATATTAATTCTGTCAAAAACAGAAAAAGATGAGAAATAAAAACAATGTGATAAATATAAAACAAACAGAAACATGGTAGATATAAATCCATTATCAATGATTACGTTAATTGAAATGTCCTAAAACTCCAATTAAAGAAAAAGGTTATTATATTGGATTAAAGAAAAGCAAGATACAAGCTGATTCTTGCAGGGAACGTGGCCAGTGTTCCCTGCAAAAAACTGGGTCCCTTTGGTAGAGTTGCAAGGGATAAGAAAATAATAGAGAGAAATGGAAAATGGAAGAAATAAAAGAATACACTGAGACAAAGATACAGTTTTATAAGTTTATAAAGATTATAGGCAAAGCGGGAGCTCAGGGGGCTTAGACCTCTCCGTTGGTCTCAAAAGCCCCGAATGAGGTCTTACATGGTAACTTATAAGAAATAGTGAACAATTGTCAGGGGTAACAGATTTACATAACAGCAGGTAGTTCCTCTCAAATTAACAGATTTTCAAAAGGCTTTTACAGAAGGCTTCTACAGATTCTTTAAGTAATTCTGTTTACGTGAGCAAACGGTTACAAAGTCTTTCAAAGGTTAATTTCTAAATTCTAAGGTAAGTTTATCATTTAAACAGAGAGGTTAAACAGAGATATGTAAGCTCCATGTTTATTAGGTTATTGTGAATGGAGACAGGTAGTCTAGAGTGGTTTAAACAAAAGCTTTGCTTTTAGCCATTCGGGAAGCTGTCGTTTTCGGGAAGCTGTTTGTTCCGGAGGGCACTCCATTGTCAGCTCTCAGCCTATAGTTTTTAACAGATTCGCTTGTGCTTTACAAAGCAAATCCAATTCTTTAGGTCTGAGAAACGCAGCGCCTCGTGGGATACAGCCGCTACTGCCTTTCAGAGATGCCCTTCCGAGTGTAACAGCATTCGAAATGCAAACCAACATGTTCACATATTCCTTCAGGGCAAAGCTCTCCTAAGACAAATCCTGTCCCAAAACACGTTTAATATTAATTCATGGAGCAACAGATTCTATCTTTAATATACTAATTAGTTAATGTTAATTAATATACATAATATATACAATGTATACTATATATACAGATAGATAATAATATTGCCACTCCAGGAGTTTTTTGATTGTTTGCATGGTACTCTCTTTCCATCCTTTTACTATTAATATTAACCTATCTAAATCTTTATATACATACGTATATACATATATTATCTCTATGTATAGACAGACATGTATAGTTATATATAGATATGTCATTATATATCTATACAGTGACATAGAGATATCTATAGGTAGATATAAATTATCTATTTATATGTAACATATAATTATATGTACCTATATCTATCTTTATATAATTATAAATGTTTTTATATATAATTATATATATAAAGACTTAGGTTAATAGTAAAAGGATAAAAGGAAAGTATCATGTAAACAAAAAAAAAACTTGGAGTGACCACATTAATGTCAAACTAGACTTCAGAATAAGGAATATAACCAGAGACAAAGAGAAAAGTTTCAATAACAATAGAGTCCAGTGATCAACAGAAATAACAATCCTAAACACATATACCCCTAATAACAGAGCTTCAAAATAAGAAAGCAAACTTAACAGAAATATAAGGTGAAACAGCGAGTCCATGCTTATAACCATATAATTCATGACCCAAACACCTCCCATCAGACCCCCACCTGCAACACTGGAGATCAAATTTCAACATGAGACTTGGAGGGGACAAATATCCAAATTATATCATAAGTCATTTTAATAGGTATGAAGTGATAGTGTAAGTGATTTTAATTTACATTTACAAAATGACTAGTGATGTTAAGGATCTTTCTCCACATATAATTTATCATCCATTTCTCTTCCTTGATGTATCTGTTCAAATCTTTTGTTCATTTTAAATATTAAGTAATTTTCTTATTATTGAATTTTGAGAGTTCTTTAAATATTCTGGACATGAGTTTCCACAAGAGTAGGTTGTTTTTATAAAGTCTGGCTTCTTGAGTTTCTCTCTTTTGCTTCTTCCCTGACCAGGAGATCTCTTTGCACATGCTGCTCCCCTTCCCCTTTCTGCCATGAGTAGCAGCAGCAGGAGGTCTTCACCAGAAGCCAAGAAATGCCTGCACCATGCTTCTTGTACTTCCCAGCCTGCAGAGCTGTGAGCTAAATAAACCTCTTTTCTTATAAATTACCCATCCTCAGGTATTCTGTTACAGCAACACAAAACAGGCTAAGGCCGTCCAATTTATCGATATTTTGAGGTACCATATCTAAGAAATCTTTGCCTAACCCAAGGTTGTAGAAATTCTCCTTTCTCCCACAAATTTTATAGTTTTAAGCTTTACAACTAGGTCTATAATCTATTTGAATTATTTTTTACATGTGGTATATGGTATGAGTCAAGGTTGATTTTTTTTTTGCATATGGATATCCAATTGTTTCAGTGCTAGCTGTATCTGAGAACTATAAAGCCTTCCCCCATTAAACGTATTCTATATTGCTTACTTGTCCCTTATCTCTGTTGACTATGTGTCTTGAAGATAAATACAAAAAGTTGAAGAATACTGCATTTGTCTTTTCTTTCTACCCTCAACACTGCAACAGAGGAGATAAATTATGATAGTCAGTTTCTCTTTTTTATAACTGAACATCCCCGAATGTCAGATGATACTTTAGAATTATGATATGAAAGGCCCCACACAAGCACAAAGTATCATTATCTGGCTTGTTTAAAGTTCTTCATCTTTAAAACTAGGATAATAATACCAACAATAAGGGGCTGTGAGGATTAAACGAGATTAGGGATATAAACACATCTAGGATAATACTTGGAACACAGTAGGCACTCAATAAATACTAGGTCCTTTTTGTTCTTCCTCTTAGACCATAAATAAAGTACCAAAGCTAATAAATCCAACATCTAAGTATTTCCATTTATTTCAGTGGTATATTAACAGGTTGAGTTAGTTATCAAAATAAGGGAAACAGGAAAAAAGCAGTTTACCTAGAATACAGATGTATGAAATACAAATTCATGTAGCATCTGATAGTGACTAATTACACTAGTTTTATGGCTCTGATTCTCTGAATCTATGCCTAAAACATGGACGCTAAAGTGCTAGGCCATTAGGTATCTGTCAAAACATTTTATGCTGAAGAACACATATTTTGAAACTTGGAGCGATATCTGGTCTTGTAAAATTAAAACTGCGTTTCATAAAAAAGATTTAAAAATAGAAGAAGGATCTGCCTGGGTCTTACTGGACATACAATGAAAACATCCAGAAGACAGGAAAATGACACAGGTGGGGTCATTACATTGCCCCAGGCACAAATGCTTTCTGTCTTAAAAGTTTGAATTCTTTCCAGAT